TTTTTTTTTTTTTTTTTTTTTTTTTTTAGTTTCATACGTAGGACGAAAAAAAAAATTGTTATTAAATAAATAGATGAAACGAAAAGAAAAATTGTAATACTTGTGTAAGCTTTTTAAAATATTGAAACATTGTAAAGCTATATATGAATATATATTATATATAATTGTTAAATTTATAACCGTAAAATTAGGTAATGACCGTAATATGATTCTACTTAATAATGTTTACGAAATATTTAGCGATATATTTTTTTTTTTTTTCAAACTTTTTTTTTTTTTTTTTTTTAATCCAAATAAACCATTGTACAACTTCGGGTATCTAGTTACTATGTAATGTTATGAAAAAAACAAAAAAAAAAAAAAAAATTAAAATAATAACAATAATGTTGTTCGGCTATTAAAATCGCTATAATAATAATAATATGTGCAAGACAAACACGCGAAAAAAAAAAAAAAAAAAAAAAAAAAAAAAACTCAGAGATTTAATAATATGGTAATGTATGTTCCGAATAAAAGTCCTGTATACAAAGACATTTAAATATTGGACGTTTTTATTTCACCGCGCCCGTTTGCGCGTCGCGCGCACCGCATTATTGCGCTCACTCCGTCGCTACCGTCACTGCGTGCCGCACGCGCGCGTGCACACAGTCCGACGCGCGTGCGGCACGTTATACGGGGTGATCCGTTTGTCGCGGACCGCCGGCGCGTTTGATTTCTGGAATTTCTCTTTCCGTTTTATCGCGCGGGAGCTCCGTTGTCCCGACGTTACGATGCACTGCACGACGTTGGCCATCGCCCCGTCAGTCTCCTCCCCTCCCCCTCCACCCCGTCGGCCGCACGGTCTATTGAACGTGACGAACGTTCGCGGAATGTTTTTTACCGCGACTAATGGAAAAAAGGTAAAAAAAAAAAAAAAAGAAAAAAAAAAAAACGGAAATCAAATTCTCTACGAACCGCACGGGGAAATCGCCGGTTCGTGGCAAACGGACGACCAGCCCATGTACGCGCATTACATTATATGCGTTTACTATCATCCTGAACAATCACGTTGTCTTTCTCTTTTGAAACCATACACAGGTGTACGATACGGTTTCAACAGTGTATTGATATTGAAACTCTTCCGCTCGACTGCACGACCGTGCAATATTAATTGTTAACGAAACCGAAATTCTCGTTTAATAACTATTGAATTGAAATCTTTTGAACAAAAATTAAAAAACTCCGCACAAAAAAAAAAAAAAAGAAATTAGGTAAAATACATAAGGTAATGTTGAGCAAATAATACGCTCTGAAACGTAAAGTTTAATTAATTATTATCAATGGTGACCGTGACGAACGTGTTTTGGAAAAAGGTATTTTTAAATTGTATTTTAAATACTATTCGAACACATGAAAATAATAAAAAAAAATTAAAAAATTAACCAGTGCAAATACATTAAGGTCTACGCCTATACGGAGTGTGCCACGATGATCCACCGTTTGAAATAACTTTTGCTCTATTCGATATATTTTTTTTCTTTTAATAATAATTAGTATGCCTCTTATAGTTTTTTTTCCAGGAGAGGGGACTTAAAGTTAAAAATTTTAAATTTTACTATAATTTTTAAAACAAAAATTTCAATATAGCCATTTTATTTTTAGAAAATTGTAGGTGGTTGAAACTTTTGTTAAAATATGGTCTTTTATTTTCTACGTTTTTTTTTTGAAGTTTTTTCAAATGTGTACATTACCTACGTGTTCTAAAACTATTATACGTACAGTAACTTACGTTATTCTATTACAATATTCCATCAGTTATTAGTCGGGGCACATGACAAGGATGTTCTTTTCCACGAGTTTGGAATATCATGCAACACTATTATCACCGTATTATTACGGATATCATGTAGTATCAATCAATCAAAACAATGGTCGTTTATGTCGATAAACAATATTACTACGGTTGAAAAGAAAATTATTGAAATTTCCGAAAAAAAAAAAAAACGTTCACGCGTAAACTGCAACGCGGAGGCATACTAATTATTAAAAACAAATATCGAATAGAACAAGTTATTTTTAAGTGGCGAATCGTCGCGAGCCTACTCGCCGGTACATTGTCATGATGCGCGCCGTCTCCGTCTCATCGGCGCATCACGGCGCATCGGAATCGTCACGGCGTTACTCTGGGACCGAAAAGACGGCGGCGTTTCGGTCGAAACAAGCGGTTAAACGCGAGTCGAGAAAATCCGGGAGACGGGAGAGCATTGTCGAGGGCCGCGCGCAAACCGCGGCGGCGTTTCGCGTTTTATTAAACGGCCGTGCGAGAGGTCCGGCCGACCAGTGAAACGGCGCCGGCCTTTTAGCCGCGCTCGCGGTGGTACCGCTGCGAGGGCCCGCGAGCGTTTCGGGGAAAATCCGCCGTCGAAAAGTTGTCCGCTCTCCGAGTTACCAATTACCCGCGCCGTTTGCGCTCGGGCGCCGATTTCAATGCGATCGCCGCGACCTGCTCACGGCGCGGGCACCGCGATTATTTTTCGGTGTTTCTTCCCCCTCCCCCTCCCCCTCCCCCCGTCAGTCTAGAATGCCGAGACGGCGATTTCGGGCGCGTGACGTCGCCGTTTAAATTCCACCGTGCTATAAATAAATGCCCGCGTAAAAATAATATCCGCGTATATTTTTCGCGAATCGTTCAAATCGGTAAAAAACCTACAGTGCGTACGCGCGCACGTAGGCAGTTCGAATTTGAACGATACGGGGGCACAGGGTCGTTTTTTATCGCGGACCGGCAATCGTCACGGCGCATTCCGGGCGAATTCGATCTCCGTTTTTTTTTTTTTTTCCGACCGTCACGGAATCGTTTGAGTTTTTACACCCGTTCCGCGTGCCTTGAACAGGCGCGTACTTTTGATTCTCTCAAATGGGAATCTTCGTTCAAAAGCGATGAGGGGGAGGGGTGGGGGTTTCCTATTTGAAAATCAAAAGTATGTACTTATTCACGGCACACGCTGTATGGGTAAATAATTAAGACTTAGCTTAGTTTAGTTTTAAACCAAAGCTTAAACGATACCGTAACGATTAGAGAAAAACAGTAATCGAATTCGCTCAAAGTCCTCCGCGACGGAAAAGAAAACCGCACTGTATCACCTATATAATATGTGTATTGTCAGTCAAATAAATAACCATCGTAGTTAAATAATATATTACAACCGTTTAGGTATACATCATCATGATATTCAATGCGACGTGTTTTAATTCACGACCAGGAGTCGAGCGTTTTATACTCGCTTGTTCTTAAAACAACAATAATACGATAAAAAAAAAAAAAAAAATTGTAACGTTACGGTTCGCATGGCGATACAATATCAGAGTAACCCATAAGCGTGTACTTTTAGACAATGTATTCGAAATACTATAAAAGTATTTATAAAATATAATACGATAATAATATTATTACGACATAGTGTACACTCTAAACGCTCATTGTCGATAAACAAGAAACGTTGCCGACGTCGCGTATATCATTACGACGCGACGGGAAAATAAATATTGGCCTTTCGAACGGCGTGCGGGAAAAACGTTTCTGTGAAACGGACGAAAAAAAAACAAACAAACGGACGTCCGACCCGCAAGACGGGTGGGCCACTGTTGTTGGTGAGAAGTCGGGAAGGTGTTATAGGACACGTCGTGATAGGGGAATTCAACGTGTATCTGTACGCGACGATTAATCGCTGCTAACGGCGAACGATTCCGAGCGGAGTTGTTCGGTTGTACGCGTTTGGAAAGGCCGTGTAATGTTTACGATTTTCGTCATAATTTGATGTCGAAATTCTTATATAAAAAAATAAATAAATAATATACACTACTCGCTGTACGAAATGTGACGTACTTGCTGTTGAGTATTCAAGGCATTTTCACCTATCGAATAAAAATTACGTAAACGAACCTCGCGAAATTAAAATGTCTATAAATAGCTCTAAAATGCAGGCTAAATTGTTTTGTACTTTTTAAAAAGTAACGATGCCCAAGCGTTGTACATGAGTTTTCTGTCCGGACGTCTCTACGAATGTTTTTAACCGAACCGCGACGACGAGCACAAGAAAACAATGTACAGGTTTCGGAAAAACGTCACGGTTGTCCCGCCGCGGTTTTCGCCGATTGTCAACGAAAACCGTTTTCGTAAAATCGATAAACCGACCTCCGTCAAACGGCGTAGGTACCCATGCGGATGCCGTCCGGCTGAAACTGAAGAATCCGGCGGGTAAGGTGTTTACGGACGGGAAAACAAAACCAAACGCCGTAGTCGTAGTAACAACCTGCGCGTTCCAATCGGTTCGCCACGCGCGCGCAGAATCCGCTGAAACTACACTACGAAAAAGCCAAAAAAAACAAAAAAAACCGATCGCTCGCGAACGGCGAACTGCGGCGGCGGGCGCGCGACACGAGACGGGACCTGTTCGGACCCACGCCGGAGACCCGTTAAACAAAATGTTACTCTCACGCGGACCGTGCGGACCAGAACTTTCCCCGTGTCGGTTCGGCCGTACGTTTGTTCAGCGAGTGGTGTTTTGTCTGCGCCGTCTTATCCGCGTTGAAGACCTCGATACGCGGACGTCTATTGTGTATCGGCCGTTCAATTTCGACCGGATCATAATTTACTCATTACTCGATTTTGAAAATCACCTTCCGTAGTTTGTTTGACCGTTTAACGTTTACCCGGTCCAGCCTTTATGGACGTTCGAAAGTATCGGTCCGAACGGGTCGCGGTCTCGTTGGCGGCCCGGAACGTTGCGGGCCGCGACGACGCGGGCGCTAAGAATATTACAAAAAAAAAACGACGAAAAACGTCTCGCGGCGTTACGGACGGGGTGGAGGTGGTGTGGGGGGGGGGCGAACCGTATACGCACGTGAACAACGAACGACGATAAAATATCGTAAAATCACGTTTGTATCGCCCAGAGCCGTCGTTAATATACGATAATAAAAATATTATTACGTGTAACGGCGACGTGTGGTACGCGTTCCGCGTACGGCCGGGAGAAGTGGTTTTTTTTTTTTTTCCATTCTTCCTTTCCGCTCGCGAGACGAAGGCGAAATACCACACACATGCAATATAATATAATATAAAACATAATAATAATAATAATAATAATAACGTCGTCGTCGTCGTCGTCGTGGACGGTGTTTTTTATTCCATTATCATTTCGTTTTTTTTTTTTTTTTTTTTTTTGTATCGCGCGCGCGCGTCGGCGGCTTCGTTCTCCAATCATTCGCGATTGAAAGGTCCGCGCGGACCGCTGCACGTACCCAACGCCCGGTATCCGCGGTTAAACACCACGACACCGACTGTGCACCGACACGGACGTATACCCACTAATCGTCATCATGGACGTCAGACTGGTCGCCATTGTTTTTTGCCACAGTAAGTATGGATTACAATACGTTTATAATAGAATATGCGTACGTGTATGCATGTGTATATACATATATATCGCGCGCGTATGTGTTCGTAGAATATTATCGTCGCGAAGAGTGAATAGATAATAATATCGGGCGTATAGATTTTTTTTTTTTTTGGCGGAAATAATAAAAAGAAAAAAAAAACACGTCCCAGTCCGGGACAGCGATTGTTGTCGTCGTTGGTCGCAGGAGGACGGGGGGGAATGAAAAAAAAAAAACCCGAGTGAAAAATAGCATAACATAATGCAGGCGTGCGCCTACAGCCGGGTTCACGAAAAGAAAGTACTTAGTGAAATTCGTTCGGCGCACGCCTATAATAATAATAACATCACACCGTATAATAAATTATCGCGTTTTTACTCTCGTTCGGGTTCGTTCTTTTTTTTCGCCGCTTTTTCTTTCGGGTTGGGTTCGGTTTTTTTCCCCCCTCTCTTATATGCGTAGGTAATGCGCGCGTACGCGTCGTTCGGAACCGCGAGCTATCGATTAATATCTGTTGTTTTTTTTTTTTTTTTCGTTTTGTTGTTTCGTTTCGTTTTCTTCGCCGTCTCCGTCCATCGCGCCCGCTTGCGTTTCCCACGCGTCTCGCGTTTTTTCGAAATTCGCGGATTTCCCGATTTTCCGGACCCGGGCACCCGCCGGCGACAACGCGTTCGCGGCCGTTTCACGGGAATCCGGCGCGAAGAAAACGCGGCCACCGGACGAGTTCGTTCGCGCATCCGGGAGTCCGGGAAACCCGCTGACCATCGACCGTATCAACACGGACCTACGCCCCCACGTTTTCGGCTACGGAACGTCGCGCGTACCCGTGCCATTTGGACCGGCGAACGAAACGGAAAATATCGTAATACCGAGCGGAAGAAAATTATCCTAAAAAACGCGCACTACTTTGTCGGGGCTTCGGCTTTTCCCCCCGGGGAACCAGAGATGATCGTGCATTACACGGTTCTATACGCATGCGATATTCGACGTTACTCCGTTTCTCTGTGCGTTGTTGTATAACAGCCCCGCCACGGGACGCGCGCAAAGTACCCGTCTCTCTCTCTCTCTCTCTCTCTCTCTCTCTCCGACAATACGCGATTTCCTGCATAATGTCGTTATTTTATGTGCGCGGCGTGTGTGCGAAAAAAAAAAATAATAATAAATAAAAAACCGCATTCGCCGCTCAAAAGTTGTACAGTCGAACACGCGAATTCGTGACTGGTACCCGGCAGGCGACCGGGGAGGGGGGAGGGGGGCAGGTTTGTAGTTTTCGACCTTGATACCTTTCGACTCGCGACCCGAGAGCCGGCAAGAAACCTTCGCGAAATAAAACAACTTTTATTATTATTATACTTTTTCTCGGGTTTTTTTTTTTTTTTTATATATATATATAATTATTTTTTACACGATGCATATAATATACAAATTATACAGTGTGTGTGTGTGTGTGTGTGTGTGCGTGCGTGTTTATTTGCATTTTACGTTTGCGCGCGTATTGAAATCGGGGGGGGAAACCGAATACAAACGGGTACGCGTATAATACCGTATAGCGCACTGCACAATCCGCGGTGGCGGTTCCCGAACCGGCGGTGGGCGGGTGCCGAGTATACCGTCAAAGGCGGGCAATAATGCGTCGTGTACCGCGCGTCCGTCTTCGGACGGCTAGACCTAGAGGATCCCGAAATCCGCGCCCGACGGAATTCCGCGTAGGCGTACCTTAGTGTCGCCGTTTCGCATCCGCATGCCGGGACGCGACGCGCACAAAGAAAACGCGGTTCGTACAGACTCCGGGGTAACACCCCGACGTTATGCCCCGAGTTTCGTGTACTGTCGGTCGCGGGAGAAATTAACGTTTCTGTTTGTTTTTTTTTTTTTTTTTTACGAGGTTAGGCCGGACCCGAATAACGCAGAGTTCGGAAACCGCTGTTCGTCTGTTTGTGGTGGAAGGGAGGGGGGAGGGGTAACGGGGAGAGGAGAGGTCGGATATACCTATGTTACGCGATAATATTATGCGCCGCCGCCGTCGTCGCGGCACAGTCGAGACAGTCCGCCGTGTCCGAGCAATTTATTTTTACTCTCTCGCGGGTTGTGCCTGTGCCCGTCGTCGACGGTCGGTGTACCGAAAGAGGGTGTGGTGTTGAAATACACATAGCATACTGTTTGTTATCGTAACGACCACGACGACCACGACCACGTCCGTAGAACTACGTGCGTGTGTGTGTTTTCAATGATAAAATAATCGGCGCAAAAAAAAAACAAAATAATAATAATAATAATAATAACAGATCGGCGTGCGTCTTTTTGAGGAGGCCATTAAACTTTTTTCTCTCTGGTTTTTTTTTTTTTTTGTCGCCTTGCAATACTAATACCACACCACAATAGTGTATTGGACCGGGTCCAATACGGCCGTAGTATTATACACACACACACACACACACACACACACGCACATGCACACACGCACACGCACACACGCACGCACACACAGACACGCGCGCTGACAACGCCGCGATGGAATTTTTAGGAGAACGCTGTGAATTCCTAGTGGTCTGCGACGGCGATTAAAAATACGCCGCTTTAACGCTAAACCCCGCGGCGTTTTAGTAACGCGACCGTCAGTTTTTTTAGTAATAAAATCAGTATTAGTAGTGTTATAGTTGTTATAGCAGCAGTGTACAGGCAGTGTGCCCGGGAATTTTCGGCCGCGGGAGGGGACCGTTTAGTGAAATAATACAGAATCGTACAATATCGTTTTTTATACACACCTCCTGACCCGGAATACAACGGGAATTCGAAAACAACCGATTCGTAAAAACTCTTGAAAAAAAAAAATATCCCTCTTAAATCCTAGAAATCAATAGCCAATCGCGAGTGACAGTTTGAATTTTTTAAAGGGTAGTGTGGTTAATTTTATTATACGCACAAAATATTATAACAAGACCGTTTCAATGATGAATATTTTGGGTATTCGCGATTATTGTTTGTTCATAAATGTATGGTCGATTTTAATCGCCAAATCGAATTGGTGCCGTCAGTGACGTGGCTATCATAGGGCAAAGTGGGGCAGTGGCTCCGGGGCCTCAGAGCTCGGGGGGCCTCGAATAATTCTGAAATTACTTTCTTAAAAAATTGCAAATTTTGATGTGTTATTAATAGTGAATGTTTTATATCATTCGTGATAATTCCAGTCACAATCAGTATATTATTCAAATAGATTAATAACACACACGATAATATTGCGCAATGGACGGCGTTCACCGTGCTGACAGTTATAATTCGTATGGTACAACGCAAACCGTATGGCAAACTGGATTTCTTTTTCCTTTTTATTGTCTGTTTATTATTTTCGTTTGCGATTTCTTAGTATGTATTTACACTTGAAATGTCGCTACGAGCGGAGTGTATTTCGAATTTTCTTAAAGACCGTACAAGTATACGTGTAGAGGGTCTGGTTTTTTAATTGCCCCGAGGCCATCTTCCGCTCGGCTACGCCGCTGAGTGCCGTGTTTTTTTTTTTTTTCGTTTTTTTGTTTTTCTTTATTAAACACGCCAACGGCTGTATACGATCTCGTCCACTGCCGGCAATTCGATTTCGCGGCGAATGTTCGAGCTCGATAGCGGCCAATGTGGCGATGCCGGAGTCCGGAAACGGTATTATTGTCGGTTTCGCTCGGTGCGTTACCAAACCCGACCGTCGGGTCTGCGGGAACACTGAAAATGTCCGGAGTCCGCGCCGGGGTTCCGACGATTCCGATCGCTCACGCGCGAAGACCTACGGGGCCCGGGTACGATTTTAAACACAGCGAGTCGTTTATTGCGCGCGTGAAATCGGACATTTCGATGGGTGACGACCGGAGGGTACGCCGCGGACTGTTCAACGGTGTCCGGCGTCGCGAACAACGCAACAACGCGCGACACCCGCACTGCTCCAACCACCCCCCCTCCCCCCGAGCACGGAAGAGGGGAAGTGTCGTCGGTCACTGCCGAACCCTCGGACACGCCGCCCCTAAATGACACGACCCGCTCGCGGAGAACAACAATCGCGAAACAATCGTGATGACGATAATATTAATGGCCGAAAACGAGCAGAGAAACGAAATGGCACGACGCGTGTATCGGGTAGTTTTCCGTTTTCCTTTTTTTTTTTTTTTTCCTCTCGTTTATTTCGGCCGAGGTCGACGACGACGGTGACGGCGTGTGCGATGCTAATTAAAATCGAAAAAACTTTAGTAACGAACAAATAAAAAAAAAAACGCTCGCTTTTCTCCCCGTAAAACGCGCCCCGTGACCCGTCATATTTACGCGCGCGTGTTTTTTTTTTTTCTTTTCAACCTCTCGCTGCCGCCGTCGTCGCCGTTGTTCTCGCGTTTCCCGACGGCGTGCCGGAAAAGGTCTCGTCTGTCGTTTCCCACGCGCACCCGCCGGAGCTCCGACGCACAATACGAAACCCGGATGGATATAAAACATTGTACAACGGCCGCGCGCATGACGGCCAAACGGCGTACGGACGTCTAAAAGCTTTTCGGCAACCCAATACGCCCGCGGCCTTTCCCGGTCCCGCGGCAACACATTGTACGCGCGGAAGACTTTCTACGCCGGGACGGGTGAAGGGGAGGAAGACAAGGGGTTCGTTTTCGTCCTCCGACCCGCTGCATTTTTGGCGCGCCCGTTCCCGACCCACCGCCGCCGGTTTATAATTGAAATTCCGTCTCGACCGGCCCGGCGGCGGCACGGGCCGTCACCTGCACCGCGGGCGTTAAAACGCGCACGGAAATACGCCTGTCCAAGTACGGGCGGTCGAAACGGTTTTATTTTCCCGTCCTAACATAATATTTATCAACGGCGCACGGGTCTGAGCGACACACGATTCGTGCGGTTTTCCAGGAGAGTCGGACGCCGGATTTTTTTTTTTTTATTAGGTTTGCAATAACTTCTTTTCGGTCGGAATAGCGGATTCGTTGATTCGCTTTTGTTTTGTCGTTCAGACCGCATAGGATTGAGAAGAGAAAAAGTGAAAAGTGTCGCGTTTTAACCCCAGATTTAAAATTCAAACCGTTCGTTAGATAATCGCTGTTTTCACGCACGCGCAATCGCCGAAACGCGTGTTTCCCCGTTCGATAGTCAAGCCGTGTCACTTAGACCCTTTTGCCGTAACCACCGTCGGCATAATGTTACGGTATTGTTACGCCCGCGGTAGCCGCGTAACACCCGGGGGGCCGGGGTCGGGCGACGGGAAAACTACCCGTTCGACCGCCGCTGTCGGGCGACACTGTCGGGCGACATGACGGGCTACGACTCATTCGCGCACGACAGAAACGCTTGATTCGAAGAAATTTAACCACGTGCATAAAGTATACCTACCCCGTTAAATATGCGCGCATTTATGCGCTCAAAACGGGCGAAACGTGAATTTTTTAGAACACGCGCCGAAAAATAATAAATAAATATGTGCAGAAAAAAATGTAAAATTAAATAATGCGATTTAACGACAATAGATTAGAAACTATATAACAATAAAGATTAAAAGCTTGTGTTCCGTATACGACTCACGTATACATGGCGAGCGCGATAATCGCGATTATAACGCATTGTTATTCGTTGTGACGCCGCCGCGGGGAAATCGCGATTGACAATAATCGCTGTACTCCGTTAGACACCCTGTACGCCCGAAACTGCACCCGCAAGCGGTCTTGCCGTTGTTCGCGACAAACGGGCTGTCGTAAATTTGAAAAATTACATTAACACGCGCGCAGTCGGGCCTCCGCCGCATTGCGACGTTACGTTTTTTGTTTTTTTTTTTTTTTATTATTTTCCGTTTTCAACGCTCGGGGCCTAACGCCGATCGGCCACACATAATTATCGTCATGCTTGTCGGCCGGTATAATGCAAACGGATTTCGTTATTCTGCAGTCGCTCTGTTGAGCGGCCAATCCAACAGCGGCGGCAGGAGACGGCCGGCCACCACCACGACGATCGCGCCCCGGCGGCCATCACCGGTGGTCGAGTACGACTACGAGGACGCGGCCGCGGCCGGCGCCGAGCCGCAGCTGAAGAGCGAGTGCCCGGAACCGAACGGATTCTACGCGGACCCCGACCAGTGCGACAAGTACTACGAGTGTTCGGATAACAAGATCACCGAGAAACTGTGTCCGGACGGCAAGGTGTTCAACGACTACAGTCCGTCGCAGGAGAAGTGCGACTTGCCGCTGAACATCGACTGTTCCAGCAGGCCCGCGCTACGTGAGTACCTATATTATAACAATAATATTATTAAAAACCTGTAGAGTTATAGACACTGCGTCGTTGTACGTTGGTATGTCATTGTTACACAGTTTTCTTAGGGCGATTAATGTCGCGTATTTCTGTACATTTTCAATCAGACAGCAGGTATTTCACAAACGGTTTCAGCGTGGGCAACACACAAGAGCCTGTTGGCTTTGTGTTTTTTGTTTTTCATTCGTAACTCGTTCGTGGGGGCAGCACGCAGACGATATTATCTTATGGTAGCTTATATTTTTCTGTATCCAGGGATAACAAAACCTCAAAATCGAAAATGTCGCACATAGAAGGTGCAACGATATATTGTATAGGCGTATTCCCGTAGGGCGTGCTACACAATACACGACCTCCCCATCGTATAATCTCCACTCTCGTTTGATATACCGCCCGACGAGCCGCGAAGACTGCTAGTTATCGATAAACGGCCGGGGGCCGTAAATGTTACGAGTCGCAGCACGTCTTGGAGAAGGTCTTGAAAGGTACTCATTTCAGTAGTCGGCTTACACTTGAGTTCAAAACAAAAAGAACCCAAATGGTCGATAAAACGGCGTTACTAGGTCGTCCTGCTAGACTACGGTGGAAGGAAATTAGCGTTTTCAAAACGTTTAAGTAGATTTTATTTAAATTTTTGCAAAATCGCCTTTTCGCCCAAGCGCAGTTACTGGTTCTTGATCGGAGTGCAATTCGAACATTTTAATTCAGGCGGAAAACGCAACGCGACTTTACTATATTTGAGTGCAGGGACCAGCAGACGCCCCGTCTTGCCGCCACCTCCCCATCCGGGCGCCCATACGTACACAATGTCTTACTATAATAATACTCTCGGATCGCCAAGGGACCGGGATACATTGGGACGCGGGGGTGGAAAAAATACGAACTTAAATTACACCCAATACTCAAAACGAAAACCCGATCTACCCGTACGCAGCCGAACCAAATCGGGTTTCGTTCCGAGGAACTCCTAGCGTCCCGAGCAGGTTGACTTATAATCGATGAAAAATCACGACGCGTACGGAGGAAAGGGAAAAATGGAAAAACCGTACGATACTTTGTATAATACTTTGATCGGTCTCTGTTCTGTCGTATCTCCGGGATGTGTGTCTCGTATGTTACAGTCAATCCCATCTGTGTACTTTACACATTTTACGCAGTCATACTGCGGATTTCAGCGAATCTGACAGTAACGACCGTAAGCGATTTGATAAAAAGATAAAAAGACGGATAAAAAGAGTTACGGTTTTCAGAAAATTGATAACGGGCCAGTCACAACGCGTCAATGTTGCCAATCCATACGAAACAATATATATTTTTTTTTTTTAAATTGTTGTGCACGGTTCGTTCATAACTGCCAACCGACCCCTTCCGACGTACCATAACACCGTATTTTGGTTTTTTCGTATTTTTCCATAACCCGTAATTTCGCGATAACCGTCGAGTAACTAATAGCTAATACCAACACGGCTCTCAAATGCCGACCGAATGTACTTCCGCCCACAATGCATTGTCAATTTTCCCGGCTACTCCTCGCCCGACGTGGTTTGGCACAAGGCCGGTCATCGTGAACACATAATTCGAAACGATATTTTTTTCTGCGCCAACACGGTGTAAGTACACTCTTGATTCGGCGTTATTTTCTGAACGTTGATGTTCGCGCGGACCGATACGGCCACGGCTCATTATCGTTTTTTTTTCTTTCTGAAAACCGTACACCGCCCGATAAAAACGCGTCCGGACATATAGTCCGTCCGGCCCCGGCGTTTCCTGCAATAGGCGTCCGCGAAAAATTCCCCGCACGCGGCCAATCAAAGGGCTCCGCGGCTCGTCTCTCGAGTACGGACAACGTTGACGGGCCCGCGAGGTGGACGGCCGCAGGGGACGGGCGGCAGAACGACTGTAACGTTATCGTTATTATTGTCGCGCCGCCCGTGGGTGAGGGGGAGGCGGAGGGAATTTCACGTGGGCGGCGACGTCCCCCGGTCGCGCGTACGTCGCGCCCGACGATCGATCGAGCGCCGTGACGTCACCGTGTCTCGTCGTCATGAAGCTGCGCGACCCGCACGAAAACCGTACGACGACGGGCGCGCGTACAATACAATCGCTCGTATTTTATTATTAATGCTATACGGAGATCGGCGGCGGCTGTCGCGACGTTGCCAAAAAAAAAGAAAATAATAAGAAGACAAGTTAAAATCCGCGTGTGCACGCGACCGTCTTATTTTGGCCGTACCTTTTTGAGCCGGCCGACCCGGTGTAATTATAGCGCGCGCGCCCGTTAATAATTCGAGAGACGGCGTCGCGGCGCGTCCGTTTTCGCGATTCGCCCGGAACGCGCGCGCGCGCGCGCGCTCTCGGTCGGACTTCCCGAGACGCCGCGGACATCGTCACTCACGCCCGACGGTGGACGCGGTTTTCCGGACGTCCCGACGCCGTCGCCGGTGCCCCGTCCCGAGGACATCCCGAAGACTACGAACGAATCGACCGAAATATGCCGAAGACAAATACACACCTTCGGCGATACACGTCCGGATTTAAAACGATAACAATAATAGTACGAGTCGCGCACAGGCCCCTGAAAGTTATTTGAAGCTCGTGAAACTCCGATTAAAAAATGCACGCAAATAATGAAATGTCTAACCGACTGTTTAATTGAAAACGCAATATTTTCACTTGTCATTCAAATTGAATGGCGACATATAAAACGTGCGTATTTCGCGAACATTTGATTCCGCCCATAATATGGTTTTTGTCGACCCCGGGGACGTGGTCCCCTATTCTCTCCTCTCAATCCGGACCGGGTGTTCGGGACATACAGCTGCATACGCCGCATACCCCCGGCGCAAGCGTAGGACGCTATACAGGAAAGTTCTTTATGTATCTGTACGACAACCATTAACTGTTACCAACGGAAAACGATTCTGAGTAGAGTTCGCGGTTATACGTGGTGTTATATCTATACGGTCGATTCAATTATTGTTCGTCCCGCGGATATAACAGATTCGGATAGTTCGTTTTCCATTAATCCGGTGTTCGATAAGAGAGACGTTCACTGCTTGAATCCGCGGGACGGTTTCAAAAAATATGTTTCGATGTGATATTATAGCCGTAATGTATAGTAACAATCCGTTCGATATTTTTTCCATCCCGGTAATATCGTCCGCGTGGTTTTCTAACTTACATCCGGCACGGATTTTCGCCTCTTTTCGCGTTCCGGTCGACTTCTTACCGCGATCCGTTTAGCGAAACAAAAAAAATTCCCATCGCGGGTAAATCGACATTGGAAAAACGTGCGGAAACGTTCGAATATCGTACGACTCGTACGCGAGGCAGAACATTTACAGTGGAAGGGGGCGACAAAAGGGAGACGCGTGCCTTTTGAAAAACATCAAGACCCGCGACGATGAACGGTTATTATTGGTCCGCCGTCTCGCCGCACACCTAACGTAATAACTCTATCACGCCTCCGTGTTGCAGATTCGCCGCGGCATTTTATAAGCCCGTAACTCGCGTCCGAAAACCCGGCTCCGGGTCGCCCCCTTCCCCCGTTGAAATCGCCCCCCCCCCCGAGACCGTTCACGATTCGTCTGTTATTCCGGGCGTCGAACGCGTAAAACCGTTCGAAACGGCCGCGAAAAGCATCGGACCAATGACGTGTGTTAACGGGCGCGTTTCGGGCGAGTGAGCGCAGAGCGTTTGGTCGATTTTCGGCCCGCGGCCGCGACGCGTCTCGTGCATAAAAATCGCATTAGAAAACCATTACGCGCGTTCGGGCTGTTTGCGCGCGCGTTTGGGTATAAATCGGTAAAACACGCGCGGAGGACATCGGAGACGGGCACGCCGGGGTACGCCGCGCGTCCGTCGTGGTTACGCGTTCACCCCCCCCCCACCCCCCCTCCGTTACCGTGGTTTACGATATTATTACAGAACTGTTACGCGTCGGAGGTATGCCGGCGACGGTTTCGATAAAACGTTATTGCGGCATCGTAACACGCACGCACATCCAGCGGCGCGCCGGAACGATTTTCGAACCGCGGTTGGGGGTGGGGAGGGGAGGGAGGGACGGGCCGAACGACCGTGTATATCGCCTGATATTTCAATGTTATTTTGAATTATATTGTTACCGAAAATAACGTTCGTCCGTAACAACCCCGTGCGTACCCGATAACAAACGGACTGCGCTATTTAACCGACGAATATCGCTGTACAAATTCAAACAGTTCCATGTCAATACAATGACAGTTCAGGTGCTTTTCCCGCGTCTGCCGCGTCTCGCCCGGGATACGTATGATTTTTATCTTTTTAGCGCGATCCGTGAACAAGTCTAATAACGGAAATGCGTTAAACATCAAAGAAAATATCATCTATGCACACGCGATTAAACGAATAGCCTTAAAAAAAATTACAAGATTATAAGAGGCGACATGAAACCCCAAACACGTAGTAACCCCGTGCCTGTGAGGACTTATTCCCGTAGGTGCGATTGCTCTCATCGTCTCCGTTGGTCCGACGCCCTTGCGCATATCAAACAATCGATACTTTTAATTTACTTTCAATTTACTATTTAATACTGTAGTTGCTAGTCTGAAACTAACAATATTTAAAAAATATATTTGAAACGTTAAAAAATATCCACTTTCACATGGTTTTGCATTGGAAAATATGTTATCTGTGTTTGAAACGATCAACATAACGTGAATGTACATTCTCTAATACGAATCGTTTTAGACCGAAAGTAAGACATCGACCAAATGATGAAACGTTCGATCGCCTGCCTTGTGTTTCCACTATACAGAAATAAAAGTTGGTTTTGCAGCGTCGCCATTTGCAACCTCGCAATCGTCAGTTCCTCAAAATTAAAATTAAAGTCACGTGCGTTTTTTTCGCTCCCCATGCTCTGGTCCGTTAGATTTTAACGTTTTAAGAATGTTGACAACTTCAAGTTGTCCATCTCTGATAATAAAACGCATACTTGTAAACAATACGTCCATTGCATCACAAATTAATTTAAACAGTTATAATACAGTGCTTGAATCCATTACGCTACACCGAGCAAATTCGGCCGTGGAATATTTTATTTTAATTTTTTAATTTACGATTTATTTTATTTATAGACAACATAAATACGAAATTCGACGATGATAGCTAAAACACATTTTTTAAATCTATAAACTCGTTTTTTTAAAAAACAAAAAAAAACACGGCTTTTCGCCGCGTTACAACACTCTGACGTTCCGATAGTGCGATATATTATTTATTTTTTTACGATACTATTACGACATACACACACACACACACACACACACAGTGCTGACGGTCGTTATACAACAATAATAATATGTAAAATAATACATTTCAGATTTTCGTACATAATATTATATTATGCATTAGATTTTAAGTGCCGTATTCACAAAGCCGTCTATCCGTCCCCGCCCCAGCTATCTTGGGAATATGATTTCGCAAGCGGTACGTATGGACAAAATAAAAGAAAACAATAATTTTTCTCCAGACCGCGTCTTATTGAAATCATTTTTTCGAATTGACAAACGAGAAAACCACGGAGCGACCGCGTCGTACAGAACGCCGAAACCGTTCGGGAAAAACGGTTCTGTATTTTCGGATTTGTCCACCTAACCGCGCAATGTCTCGTTGCACCGAAGTTCGCCCTAACGGACACGAATCGGGTTTATCCGAAATTCTAAAAATCAAAACGGGTTTCGGAAACCATGTACCCGTACACACTCGCCCGCGGATTCGTCCGATTACCGCGCACAAGCATAAAGCGTTAAACGGGGAACCCCCGGCCTTTTAGAATCACGCCCGTCGAAAAGCGGATTTTCGAATGATACTGAGACGTCCGGTTTGTATCCGGATGTCCGTCGAACAAAACGCGGACGTCGTGCGGTCGTCGCAACTCGGGTCCGGCGGTTTTTTTTTTTGATTTTCGATCATTTCGGGAGTGCGTTCTCCGTGTCACCGTGCTGTACCGCGGGCACCGTCGCTAATCGGCCGCCGCCGATTGACAAAGAACGTTACACCCGGAGACCCCGGCGCGGGGCCGCCCGCAGATCAGTCCGTTTTACCGGTAACGCGCTGTTCCGGCGGGGACGTTCGGCGAAACGATAAACGGTCTGTCTGCGCACCTGGACGGCCGGATGACGCGGTCGGATTTCGAATACGACGGCGACGCAGACGGGCGCGCGAGCGTTACCGCCCGTTCCGGCGGAAACGTTCCGGTCCCGGTGGACGGAGCTGCCGCCGCGCCGCAGTCGTCTCCGGACGGCATCCGGCCATCCCGGCGATACCATCGGAAATCCTCGGCACACGGCCGTGATTCGCGCCGCGGATTCCCGACGTTCTCGTTATTCGCGTGACGAAACGCACGACGGTAACGGGACGCGGCGCGTTAGTTTCCGCGAAACGCCACGGGGGGGGCGGGGGGAGGGGGTAGGCGCCGGATGACGCGGCGCCATTTCACGCTGTCCAAAAGACGGTATCGCATAGGCACCGCGTCGCAAATGATCATAATACGCGCGATAATAATAACTCCGCAAACGCGTCTACGGCGCCGCCGCGCCTACGTCGCGTCTAAAAATATAGTCGGTTTTTAAATTTATATAAGGTAAAAAAAAAAAAAAAAAAAAAAAAAAAAAAAAAAAAACAATAAAAAAAAATAAAACCACCAAGTGTATAAATACAAACGGCGCGCGCGCAACAAATAGAAATAAACCGTTTTTGGCATACGCCTATTAATAATGATAAAATACGGTACACCGCAGTTTATAAAATACCAAAATATTATTCAATGTTTTTATAAACACTCGGTGCTGGGCGATGATGAAATATACGAGGGAAATAAATAAAAAAATATGTAATAATAATAAAAAAAAAAAAACCATGACGGTTTTTATATCCGATAGTAAATTATCGATTCTTTTCGTTCGCACGCGCGCGTCGTAAATTAATTCGTAACTTTTCGTGTTCCGTAAAAAGCAGCGGTGCAGCGGCGCTGGTAGCCGCCAACGTACACACCGCAGCATGATATTCCGTTGAAATCCCGTCCGCGCTACCTGATATACAAATCGTACTCCGTATTTATCATTTGTTTGCTCCGACCAAACACCGCGTACGCTATGTACCTAATAACATTAAAAAAAAAAAAAATAATAATAATAAAAATAGGACGCGCATATTTCGCGCGCGGGTGCAGCCACTGTTGTTGGCGGAAAGTTGGGAAGGTGGGATATACGGACGGGAATTTCATGTATGTCTAACGAAAGACGGGTTCTGAACAGGGTTCAGTTGATAGCGTTGCTTTTACGACCATATATATATATATGTATTTTGCCATGTTATGGTGAAACGGTTACAACAATGAAACTCAGAATCCAAAACCGTTTTTCATTCGAATTGTATCAAGTGGACAGTGCGGTCCGTCTGAATCAAATCGCTGCGGTTGTGTCTGACGGTAACACTCGTGGGCATGTATTTGTATAATGCGAAACAACTGTGGTTTTAGTCGATTAATAAAAACAAAAAAAAAAAAAAAAACAAAACAAAACAACTGACCGAGACGTCGATTATTCTATCGTCTATAGTATTCGACATGTGCGTAAAGTCAACACATCAAAACCTCCCGTAAACAACTCGCTAGGAAATCCACTTGTATGGCCTCTATTTTATATTTCCTACCAAATTGTATCCAGTCGTCGTGACGTTGTATCCAAGGCTCCGAGCGAACATCACAGCCGAGACGGGACGGCATTGGAGTTTACCATCGCACACCGGGTGGACGCCGCGCGCGCTCTATTCACAGCGGCGTATTTAGGCGACACTGAAATTCGGAAATTTTTGCAATATCTATATTTAATATTATGATTATTATAAATTCAGTATTGTATTTAAAATATTTATAATTTGCATATCGCACAACGTCTACTGTACCGGGGTGAACGGGTAAACGGGGTCGACCTACAACTACGTACACGACATTTCCGTACGTTGTTCGGCAATCAATAATTGTTTTAATGGGCGGGAATTTGTTTTTCCCCCCCCCTCCCCTTTTCGGGACGCACTCCCGGGAACGCGTTCCAAACGTCGACGAATGCGCACGCGAACGCGTTACATTTTCCAACTGGGGAATGCGAACGCGTACGACATTTTAACGAGGGGATTTTTCAAACGGCGTAGAAATACTTTACACGGTTTCGTATAGTATACGAATACTATTATTATTGTATTAATAACTGTCACGGTCTGTACCGCAGAGACGCCTCAACCGGCCGAACATTGTCCCAGGCAGAACGGATATTTCGCGCACGAAAACCCGAAGATTTGCGACAAATTTTATTTCTGCGTGGACGGTAAATTCAACGCGATCACGTGCCCGGGCGGTTTGGTGTACAGCGAGAAAACCGGCATTTGCACTTGGCCGGACGAGGCGAAGAAAAAAGGATGCTCGTCGCAAGGTACGGTGTATGGTGAAAACCACGGTTTGTTTCGTCAGAAATATTATTCGCGTTCGCCCGTTTCTCTGTATTCAAATATTATTATGTCACATTATATTATCGCGGACCGTTAGGCTATACGTGTTCTCCGTTTCCGGCCTTCGCGTGACGGATATAATAATAAGTGTGTGTAGTAAAAAAAAAACAAACCCCGACCCCTACCTCCCCCCTCCGCTATAATAAACCGCAGGAAAAATCACACTATCCGCGTGCGATATGTTAATGTTTGTTCGGCTGCCAAAACGCGGGCCGCCGGAGATTTTGGACCGGCGTCAAAAACGGTACGCGGCGGTGGTAAAAGCGCTAAACTCCCACCGCCGGCGATTTATTTTATTTTTGCAGCTCGGCTGTTTCCCCCCTCCTCCCCCCTCCCCGCCACGTTCATATAATACGTATACTTATAGTTATTTATATATTTTCGTCCCTATGCGCAATAAAAAAAAAAAAAAAAAAAAAAAATAATAATAATAATAACAATAAAATAAAACCCGTTCGAAATCGATTAAAACCCGAATTATTGCTATACATACACCCGCCGTTTCGCATTTTTTTCGTATTGTTTTTACGACCGCGCGGAGGCCGTAAACTATAAATAAATAAATATTAATCGCTCATAATCGTACAGCGGGATTAATATTATTTCGTTTTCATTTTTCCCGCCCGTAGACGTGTTCAATTTCCAATGTCCCAACGTGACTATGGACATCGCACTGCAACATCCCAGGTACGCGAACCCCGAGGACTGTCAGTTTTTCTACGTGTGCGTCAACGGAGACACGCCAAGGCGGAACGGCTGCAAAATGGGACAGGTGTTCAACGAAGCGTCGGGAAAATGCGATTGGCCGAGAAACGTCCCCGAGTGGTACGAAAAAATACATTATTTATAGAATATAAGTTATTATAAGTGCCGTGAAACGATCTCGTCTGCGTTCGTGTGTCATCGTCGCACGACATTATTTAGTTAACTCATTACCGTCGACCTATACAGACGTAAACAACTGCCGGGAAAAAAAATAATTCTACCTACGGCGGTGCGTCGATCTATATAAAATCGAAACACAAAAAACATTACGATTATGTGATATAAAAAAAAAAAAAAAAATAAACAATTCTGCCGATGAACGTGCCACTGCTTTACGGTGGTTATTGTACTATACTAGTCGTTTAATTTATATCCGTACGCAACGACTATAACCATTGTTAACAAAAAAATTATTCTGAGCATATTTTCCATATTACCCAAGGTAACCCAGAAATCAAAAACTATTGGCCGTTGTTGCTATTTTCTAATGCTACGATCCGCCCGTCTGATTGGCGGTAGCTTTGTTGATTAACCATGGCGACCGAATGTATAACGCGCATCATATTGATCTATAAAATATAAAATTCACTATAATTCGTCTTGTGTGCAAGTATATTAAAAAAAACTACAAGGAAAATCAAAAAAATATCTCCTCAATTCACTAACTTATTGATCATAAATGCTAAAAGAAAGTTCCTATAAAGTTTTCGATTGGAACGCGATCCCCAGTAAATAATTTCATTTTACAAACACACTAAAACACCTGATAGTAAAACCCGTGCATTCCTTGTTTCGCTCAGAATCTGAAAAAAAAAAATAAGACATTAAATGATAATTATTAAACAAAGTCGTTATGATTCCTATCCGATTACATTAAGAAGTACACCAGCTATCAGTGACTCTACAGACTCGCAGAACTTTCACTTTCACGCCACCACTGAACGAAAAGAGACCGGTTTTCGATGAGATGTTAAATATCGATAAAAATATTAATATTATGCTTTTGGTCTCAGGAAAGGAGAGTACGAGTCAATTTTTGTTTTTTTTTTTTTTTTTGTAGTTCTGTCTTATGCTATTTCGTTCCCTTTATTTTTTTGGTCTAAGTACATTTACTACTAAGTACTGATATACTGAAAATTCACACATCTTACGCCACTATAATTTACTCTTTGTTCGACAAAAAACGCACAAGTCATATGATATTATACGATAGCCATTTAGAACGATAATTTAAGTTAGACCATTTAACGATTTAGCAGTAAAAATGCCGTTATGTCGTTTATAAATAATCAAAATTCAATTCGCTTTTTTTTTTTTTTTTTGAAAACTATACGAATTAGCTTAAGCCTTTTTCCCCCCTACACCAAAGATTTAACGATACGAATTTTTGTGTTATAACTAATATGGCTAGTGATTGTTGTTTGTTTTTTTTCCCCCCAGTGCTGACTGGTATAAAGGCATATTGACCGACGAAGAACTCTACAACCTCGAGAACCCGAAACCGAAGGAACAGACCAAGGAGAGAGAGCAGGCCGCGGCGAACAGACGGAAACCGATGAGACCGCCGACAACGAAACGGACGTTCGCACGGGACGACGAATAATAATTTAAATAATAATCATCATAATAATAATTTATTATTATTGTGCATAAAGCGGTTGTAATTCGATATTTTGTAAAAATAACAATTGTATCGGGAAAACAGCTGATCTCATTCGAGCGTTCGAATCGAAGTTAAAATAAACATATAATACATTGTATTTTCACGCGGAATACGTACTAAACATAATATTCTCGTTGTTCTTTATTTATTCCATGTGTAATGTGTACATTCGATAATACAAAAATATATAAGACATACAAATAATAAATGTTTCTAAAGCGTTTTAAACGGTGTATCTACAAAACACATAAAGTGTAATAAAGTCTATGGCCACTGGCCATTCTATACAATAGAGTGCATACGTTTTTTAATCACGAAATGTGTTTTACCTAACACTGTAAACGATTAGATATTAAATATGTTAAAACGTAACTCGGGAATAGCTAACGAAAAAATATTCTGAGTGGATTTCGATTATAAATGTTTTAAAAGGCCGTAATATTTACGATTTAAAAATAATTTTTCTACGTCTTTTTCCTGGTTTTTTTCCATTTATTATGAAAACCCATGGGAAAATCAAAAAATTAACCCCCTTGAAGTACTACTTTCAGAAAAAATGCCACACTTGAAAATCAAGGCAAAATGTATGACACATAAGTTGTACACAGATAGATCATCATTATAAAACTATCACATATCTCGCTCCGCTCAAAATCTAAAATAAACATCAAAAAAAGGTTTTCGTATAGTAAAATAGATGATTATATTAATAAAAATATTCTATTCGAAAAGTATAGTGTGAAAGAAGTTTTGCTTTTTGATTTGTATTGCTCTGCCCTTTATACCGCACATTGTAAATACAATATTTTATAAATTTATTAAAAAAAAATACACCATATTATACATTTAAATTATCTGCACCGAGTTTTTTCGTCATTTTAAAAAATATCCGTATTCCCGTTGAAATCGGGAAAAAAACCATCGCGAACAATTAATTTAAAAAAAAAATAAAAATGATCCTTTATGCTAATTCATAGCATATCCACAGTCAGTTGAAATCATCTTATTTATCTTCAGATCTTCTATTCTTTTTCTTCTGGCACCCTATACGAGTTTTGGCCGTCACTACAATAATACCGCGTTACATATCTTTATCTTCCTTCCGATATACTATTAAGCCGACGCCCTCCAATCTTCCTCTACGGCATCTATCCATATTTTTTCTAGACCCGCCACGAGGTCTCTCCGATAGTACCCTAGTTTCTCTTTCCGACGCTTAACAATAATACGGTTACCACCGCTGGATCATTTTGTAAATATCTAGTACCTATGTTGTTGTGTACCTAATTGTACATTGTTCGTTAAAAATACGTATAATATGTCTAATACCTACGTCTGGACATTGCTGCGACACTCGCAGACGTACGCGTAAATACCCGTAATTGATTTTTTGCGCAACGTCATAAAAAAAAAAAAAATAAATAAATAATCATAATAATTACAATAAAAATAAATTCCGCTGAACATTTAGTTTGTATACACGAGACTTCTCCGCGCGCGCCACGCATTAATTATAATAACGTGGTCGAGGTTAAACAGTATACTATTATTGTACTTACCGAATACTCAATAATATAATTATGTACGTTCGAGATGTACAGGGTCGTCGGGATAGAGAAAATAAAATGCCTACGCATTTGTTAACCGTAACGTGTATGCACAAATATAATATTAAGGCGTTTATACTATTCAGTTTTCTTCGCCGACATTGCGTGCCACGTTACGCGTATTTCCAAAGGCAAACGAAAATTAAATTTACCGAGCCTACGCGGGTTTTTTTTTTATAGCATACGAATTACAAAAATATAACCGCGTTACGTGTACGTACTTTGGCTCGAGCATCGTTTCTGTAGTAAAACAATTTCTATATACTTATATTATGTTTTTTTTTTTTTTTTTTGTTTGCTCATATTCTTGACCGATTCGGTTTTAAATTCAGGACGGAGCGAAAAACGTGCGTGCATATAATATATTAGTTTTACAACGACGTGATTGTTTTTTTTTTTTTCTGTCACAAGTTTTCGACCAGAAGACTCGCTGCGATCCACAACTTCGGGGAAGGTTAGTGCAATATCGAGCAGATCGTTACGGAAAATATCGACAATAATATAAATCGCCTTAGGCGCCTACGCTTTCCTTGAAGTCATTTAAAACAGTCGATTTGTAATTTTCCATTCACTTATTCACTTACATTAGTAATACCAAATATTATCTCGCTAAACATTTTACTCTGCGCTAGAAAACCAAACCATCCGGGATTTAATGAAAAATAAAAACTAAAAGTTAAACCCATTGTTCGTATACAACGAAAATATGTAAAACAAAAACATAAAGAAAAAACAATTGTAAAATGGTCCGTTTTCCCGTAGTTTTTAAATTCATTTGTAAAAGAAACAAAAAAAAATGACGCTAACAATGTCGTTAGTGTTTCAAGCAGGTGAAAAGGTATTAATAAAACGAGACAGTGTAAAATTAATGATGCAAAACCTAAACAAAGGTCCCGGGAGATAAAAGTACCTACTGCAATTATACAAAAACATATTGTCATTTTTAGTAAATATTATTAGATTCTGAACGTAGCTCCTTCGCTATTTATTTTACTATGAGATTGTGATATTATATATTTTTTTTATTTTGAGGGGAGGAGTAAAATGTTCCGATTTTTTCTTTTATATAGTCCCTTAAGACCGCGGATCCCGATCTATGGGCCGCGGACAACGAGGTACCGGGCCGCGGACACTGTTCGAAAACATAAGCCAAGGGTCGGCGAATCGTATATCGTTTATATTATTATAGGTAATATAAACGTCAATATTTCAATCGAGATTTCGTAACAATCCAACAGTTATCGTACAATGTTATTAATTGTCGTTTCCTTATTTAATGCTAGTGAACATTTTTTGTCATTTTTATCGTCTATTAATCACGCTTGGCATGGAGTGCCACACTCAATCCCGATATTGACTCTCTCCCGGGAGAAAAACAATATCATAAAATCACGTTGTTTATAAGTTGAATACAATAATAAACTTATATCTTGTAAAAAATTGTTTTTGATTTTTCTTGTACGGTGTGCTTTCCTATAAATACTAGCGTATGTGCAGTACGCACATTATATTTATATACATACAGAGTGATTTACTAAGCGTTCTCCGTTGACGGAAATCAAAAATTTGATTACCAAAATGTATTTAAAGTAACATTTCGTCTATTTATGGAATTTTCAATAAACGTAATCATTTGAAAAACTAAAATTTGTATTGTCACAGGATATTCCTTCATACTTATATAATGGTGATTATTTATTTTTATTTTTACCCGTTTAGTGAGCCTCAAGGTTTTTTTTTACAAAATTGGTGGTCTTAAAGAGATAAGGATTTTTTGCACGGCGGTATTTTAACAGAACAATTTTTCGAAATTCCCAATTTAAATTTCAACTAAAAAAAAAAACTGACAGCAGATGATGACGATTCTTTCATTGATTTTCGTTTTACCTTTAGCAACTTTGCTACAATAAGAGAGAAAATATAACGGCAATATATTATGATTAGGGTTGAAATATTTATGCACTAAAATATGAACAAATATGTATGCACTTATGTACTGAACGAAATTTGTCTAAAGGACACAAGTTATAAAGTATCGAATAGATACAGAGAACGATTTGTTCATTAATATTATTATTATCTTTTTTTTTTTTTAATTATTGATCTTTGTTACATCAGCTACTAGGCCATTAGTTCTAATTTATATTGTGTTTACATACAGTTTACACTAAAGTTTATGCTTATATTAAGTTGTATAACTTGATTTAATTTAAGAAGTTGATGATGTCAATATTTGATTAGAGATTGGATTGAAAGGCTTCTGTTCAGTCTTAGTAGATGTGGTATATGATGTTTGTTTTTTGTGACTTCGAGCTTTAGGCATTCAGTTAATATGTGTTTAACTATGCATTTCACTATTCATGATTCGCATATAAAAGGATCGTTTCTGACCATAGGGATTGCGTATTGTAAATGCGATTTTAAATAGTTTTATCTTTCCCTTTCAGGTCAGAGTTTTGTTTCATATATTTATATTGGTTTTTATTGTATTTAATTTTGTGTTTTAAATTCTGAATGGATCAAAGAAGCTTATGGTTTTGCAAAGATTTTTTTTTTTTTTAATCTATAAACAACTTTTCTACCAGTAAACTGTCTCAGATTTCTAAGTGTAGCATATTTTCTGAAGGGAAATCGGTGTAGAAAGGTAGTTTAAAGAGGTAATTTTTCGATTTTCTCATGAGTTTTATCAGCGAATGGGAAAAACATGGAAAAATCGGGAAAAACGTAGGAAATTCGGGAAAAAAGAAAATATATAGTACTTATTTAATTATTTTACTATAATATGGCGTAAATGTTGTTTACAAAGCATCACTATCAACTTAACTCCGCTTAGAATCGTTTTTTTCGTAAGCAACGGTTTATTGTTGCTTACAGATGTACATTAAATTCCCGTCTGTATTCTGTCTTCTCAACTTCCCACCTACACCAGTGGCTGCACCCGTGCCCATTATCTTAGCTTTATTGTTTTATTATTCTTTGAAATAAACGCTAATAATAATATGCAGAATTTCGCATGTTAATTTCGTTGTTTTGATAGCAAAAATAGCTGGTTTTATACCATAACGTGTGTGACGACACACAATTTTATTTTGCATTTTTTGTACACATTTGTAGAGCATAATTCAACGATTTCGTAAGTACAGTTGTAAGACACGATTCAAAAGCGATTTTTATCGTTATTATTATTACGATATATGTATTTTTTAAAACCGTATTTTCAGCGCGTAATAAAATTATTCCCTTATAATAATAATTTGTCAATAATAATAAGTAGCAAACCGCGCACTGGTATACTGTACGCGGATAGGATATCCTAACAATACGTTAATGTTACACAGAAATAATTAGATACGGTTCGCTTCCGCGCGATCGCGAGCGCGAGTTTATTGGCCGTAATGTCGAAAAAAAACTCTCAATACAACGGTATATATATATTATATGAAATCGATTCGCCGAACGATTTTTTTTATACACATTATTCTTTTTTTTTTTTTTTTTTTTTTTTTTTTTTTCACTTCAGATTTCCATGTCGCCAACGAGTAACTAGGTATGCGGCGGTATTATTATTAAGTATATAGGTACAGGCAATAGTGGGAGAAACTATAGAATGGTTTCCTGTTCTTCCGACGAGGCCGCAGTCGCTTGCACATATCATCACGCATTAAGTTTTCAATTATGAACCTCTCAATAACGTTATTGTGCACGATCGTTATTGGAATATCCCATCTGACAAGTAAGACTTTATAATATTATTATCGTTTATAGATTTAATTTTACAATAATATTTCGCGCAGGTATACATCGCAATATCAATATAATTTATTATCATAATAAAACCGTACCGATTGGTAACCGAAAAATCGTTTTAAATCCTTCAATACATTCCGCGTTCTCGAGGGATTTTATTTTCGTCAATTCTGTGCCCGGAGTGGAACGCAATGGTTATACTATGATGTTTCTTCCCCCCACCCCTTCCACCCGTCTGTTAACGACACGATGAAAAACCTCGGAAATATCGGCCCAACCGAAAAACGTCTAGGAACTATCTTGTAACATTTTCGATCAATCGACGCGTTCGAAGAGTAAGTTTTTTCGATTTTCTTTCTTTGCATCGTCTTCCGAATGATCGGAGAAAACCGGAAAATATGTTGTTGCTTTCGTTTTATAATTACCACGGGCACAAGGGGAAAAACACGACTAATACACTACTCCGCTCAGAATCGTTTTGTTCGTCTACAAATGATTTATCGTCGCATACAGGGGTGTACACACTAAATTTCCTTTTACATCCTACCTATTTTTCGTATGCATATACATTTTACCCGGTCATTAACGTTTCCGCGGCATCCGCGACGGCGTACAAGGTACTTTATAATATAATATTTTCTGTTTCTGCACCAATAGCCCTAACCGAACACCCGTTTTATTGTTTTTTTCAAATTAGTATTTACAGTTTGGTCGTAAAAAATATTTTGGAAAAATTACATTTTAACACCCACTGCGCGGCGTCCGCCGCCGTCTCAAAAATAATTGTATTCACTTTCACCGTCTACCGCGCGGCCCGTCCGCGCCGTCGTCGCACCGTAACGACGAAAACGGGAACGCCCGGCGGCGGCGTAGCTAAACAAAAATTTATTTCGATTCGTTTTCCATTTCAATATTAAAAATCCAATCGTTTGTTGAAATTGTCCGCTTTGCGCAGATGGCCAATTCCAATGTCCCGCGAAAAACGGCCAATACGAGGATTCGAAGCAATGCGACAAATTCTACGAGTGCAAAGACGGCGTGGCCACGGCGAAACTGTGTCCGGACGGATTGGTGTTCGACCCGTTCAACCGGAAAGTGAACAAATGCGATCAGCCGTTCAGCGTGGATTGCGGCGATCGTACCGAACTCCGTGAGTTAAAAGTCCAGTTTTGTTTTAATAATTATACATAAATCGTCGGCATTCCAACTTGAAATTATCGACTTTTTTTCCTCCATCCGCGCGCAGAAAACCCACAGCCCAACTATTTGTGCCCGAGACGCAACGGATACTTTGCCCATCCGGAAGAGAAAATCTGCAACATATTCTACAACTGTATCGAGGGTGAAGGCACGGAAATCGTGTGCCCCAACGGACTGCATTTCGACGAGTACGCGGGAACTTGCGCGTGGCCGGAAACGGCCGGCAGGACGGGATGCGGAGAACCGGACGAAAGTAAAAAAAAAAAACCCGACTAAAACATACTGATAATATTTGTTTTAATTTTTCACCCGATTGAATTCTAAACGCAATTTGTTTTCCGCTTTTTGTCGCCGTTTATAGTGAAACTCAAAGACGGTTTCATGTGCCCCAAAGAAAAGACACACAACAGCCGGGGCCAGAACGTGGCGCATCCCGTATACGCGCACCCGGACGACTGTCAAAAGTTTTACGTGTGCCTCAACGGCATAACTCCACGGGAACAGGGATGTTCGACGGGCGAAGTTTTCAACGAGGAATCCCAAAAATGCGACCAACCCGAAAACGTACCCGGATGGTGAGTTGCTGTATACCTGCTCGATATTACGTGTTATTGATATCGCGGGCCGGGGAGTTTTTTTTGTTCCGAATCGGTCGACGACTGCAGCGCTTTTTCTAGACGACAATCGTCTCTAGCCCGGATTCGTCGGAGATGAGAGATGATTTTTCGTTTTCTATGTTACTCGTAGTTTTCTTAATATCTTTCCCGGGGAAATTCACGCAGTAATGCAGTTTTCGTTATTTTCGATTGTGTTGCGGTGTTTCGTTTGGTGAATTAAACATTACCGTTGGGACCGGGACATTGCACACGCTTAATAGCGAAGGGCGAACGTGTTAAATATTCGACCTTATTCTAATTGTTGAGAGTGTTTTTTTAGTTTATATTCGGCTTTACACGGACAAAATATCGGACCGAATAAATGTTCGAAAATTTACCAGGACATTCGTCATAATTTATTTATTTCATTTTGTTTTCAGCGAAAATTGGTTCAAAGACGACCCGCAAGTGCAGCAACAACAGCAGACGAAAAACAAAAAACAATAAAAAAAAATGTACGGAATAAAGAAACACCGTTATTTAAATAATTATACATAATATACTGAAATAAAATGTTATTATTATGTGTATACATATATATATATATATATAAATATTTAGTTTACTATAGGATATTGTAATATTTTTATACTCTACCTAAGTCAAAACTAGAAGAAAAAAAAAATAAAATAAAAACAACCATTATTGTTATAAATTGATAATAATATAATATATTATTTTGTCGTGCTAAATAAAAATTAAATTTATTTTAATTATATGTGTCGTATACGTTATTACGTTATGCATTGTGTTGTATTGTTACGTTTTGTCGTTGTTGTTTTTTGTTATTGTTATTACGGCGTCGTACAATAGAATCTCCGCGGAAAATCTCTAAGGTCGTCTACGACACCGGCGCGTCTATAGTGCAAGGGGGTTAGGCTGGTAATTGGTTCGGTGTCGGGCATAACCTCGGAACAGCGGCGATGATAATAATAACAATAATAATAATAACGATAACGCAACGCGCCCCGGTAAAACTCGACCGGCGGCGCAGTTTACGAAACCGGCCGGACGTTCAATGGCGTCGACGCGCAACGACACACCCGCGGCGCGTGATGCGGGTAAGACGTGTGCGGCGTTATTACGACGGCGACGCGTTCGCACGAAACCCGACGTCGCAACGTTCGCGTTGCCGCACGGCAGATTCGTAGGCGAAAAATAAATTACCAACGGGAAAAACGTACGCGCACCGCAACGACGGCGCCGCGGTCGGGCAACGCGATTCGGGCGCTCCCGCGGGGCCGCGTAGGGCCGTTTCCCGCGGGTCCGCGCCGGGCCGCCCGTCAGAATGCTCGCGCGAAAAACGGAAACCCGCGTACGCGCGCGCGAGTGAGCGGCGGCGGCGGAGGATTTCGCGCGGGGGAGTCGGGACGCGGGGGAGGGGGCCAAGCGGGCTACGGACCGCGAAATTTCCTCCGACCCGACCGCACCGGACCCGGACGTTTCTCGCAGCTGGGGGGGGGCGGGGGGAGCGCTCGAAAACGGGCGTACGGCGAACGGCGCGCCGGCCGCCCTCGCTTTTTCGCGAAAACGTACGCGAACGAGTGCGGTCCCGCCGCGCCGACACCCTGCGCCCGCGCGCGGCGGGCCGGCGGTCGCAGGTCCGCCCGACAATAATAATTACGCGACTCGACGAATTATTGCGCAATCCCGCCGCGCGCGGCGCCGGGCGACGGGATCCCGAGGCGCGATTTACGAACGCCTCCGGTCCGGTTTCCGCGTTACGCGCCGCTATCGAATCGCAGCGTTTCGGCTTTCACCCGAATTCGAGTGTCGCCGCCGCACCGACAGCGGCAGCAGCGCGCGCGCGCGCCCAATATTATTGTTGTTGCACACCGGTTTCGCCGATGACGCAACGCAATCGCGTTTGTTTATAAAGGCGGTTTCGTTTCCCCGTCTCCTCCCCCCCCCCCCCCCC